TTAAATATAATTTTCTGAAACAGTTCCCTAAAGAGAATGTTTTGGTGAAATAAACAGAATTTCGGTTTTTTGAACTGTCGCGAGAATCTCGATTCTTACAGACATCTGCTCTTAAGAATTTGGATCAAACAAAATGGCTGACAGTGATAGGAGTGAACTCTGGGGTGAACAAAATGTGTTTTCCCTTGGAAATATCGAGCCAGTTGACATCCATAATGGCTTTAATCAAAATCAAGGCCTTCAGATTGAGAATGATACAACACCTCAAGTTAGAAATGACAATCCAATCCAGATTATCGAGTATAATGTTGAGATATTTATTGGCCAAGTACAAGAAGAGCCATGTTTATGGAACACTTCATACAGAGCGTATAAAGATCAGACGAAACAGAAAAACGCCTGGTCTAACATTGCTGCGAAATTCGGGAAAGACGGTAAGTCATATTATGATTATTAAAATATTCCTTGAAGTTGATGGGTTGATGATATAATTTTGTGTATAACCACTGGTCCACTGTGACCTGCATTGAGTCTCTAGTTTATGCGCCATTTCTTTCAAGTAAAAACGCATTCTATTTTTGGACATTCAACATGTCACTCTATAATATTAAGTAAAAACCATTGTTCCTTTTCAGGATTTATGGGTTTATATTTATAACAAAAATAAAAATTCAAAATTATTAATACTTATATTGGTTTTATGCATCAATCAACATCAGCAATACTCATTTCCATTGGACCAGCCCCAGGTATTGGAAGCTTTATTTCTGGGCCATGGCAATTATTAAATGCCTAATCCCAAGGAATTCCACCCAATTAAATGTCGAGGGATTCACTCTCAGGATTTCCAGGCTGAAATTTCATAAACCTGGAGATTTCCAGAGTGAAAACTCTTAAAACCTGAGGACTTCCAGTCTTACATTTTTAAACCCCGAGGATTTCCAATGTTCTCGACAGGGGGGGGTGTACAGACATTAAATGCCAATCTACTTGTCAGGCATACTTTGACCCTAGGTTAGGGAGTGGTCATTATTTATGGGGAGGGGGGGGGGTTGGGAAATGGGGAAAATAAGGATTGAAAACTTTTTTGACCCCCCCTCCAGACTGAAGGCAAACTTTTTGTGCCTCCCCCCTCATAAAAGTAGAAACTTTTCTGACCCCCTCCCCCCCAGTGTGGATTGAAAAATTAACAGCAATGAAACAGGTGTGCGTTGCAGGTAAAGTTAGATATTAGGACAATCTGTTTAATCTAGCTCATGATGTTTTACCCTGGTGAATATGATTCAATCATATATGATTAACCTAACCCATGACCCGTCTTCATACAGCAAAATGATTTGAACACAGGGTTTTTTTAAGAACTTGTCTGGGGGGTGGGCATCTACAAAAAGGGACCATACTATATTGAGTGTGGAGAGATGACAGATGGTTGTTGGTGACAAAAAGTTTGGTGAGGTATCGTATGTACTAGTAGGGAGGTCTGGGGGTATTATCCCCCAGAAAATATTTTGTATTTTTCCACCCCTAGAACTGAAATGTGAGCATTTTCTGAAACAGATTTTTGGATATGCAGCTTACATTGTGCGTTGATAGACCGAATCTGATCAGTTAAGTGTACTTGCATGGTATGTTTATGTAAATACCACAACTGGGTCACTCAGGGGGTAGAAAGCTTGTTATACTTAGTGGGTCCGATTCCCACGATCGCGAGGTGCTACCATGGTTGGCGCCGAGCAGGGAAATTTTGAAAATTTTGAGTCTCTAGATCGTTGGAAATAGCATTTCAGAGTCTTCTTTTTTGCTATTTGTGATTATAGAAATCAGAACTCTAGACATGGTATTTAAGTTCAAAAACTTTTTTATGGAAAAAAGGCGTGGCGTTGGGGTTTTGTTTGAGGTTGAGGCTTATCAGGTTTGCCCCCATTTCCCAACCCCCCTCCCCATAAATATTGACCACTCCCTAAGGGCTTTTCAACATTACATTACATATTAAAATTACTATAAATTACTTCTAAAACTACCTATGTTACATATACTTATCTTATTAATGCCAAGAAGAGAGAATACTTATCTGGACTGTCTCAATCATTATACAACAACTCTAAATCATTTTGGAGATTTTTTAAGTCTAAATCTTCAAAATCTTCCATACCTGATGTAATTAAGATAGGGGGTCTTAAACTATTCTCTTCTGAAGAAAAGGCTGATGCTTTTAATACTTATTTTGCGTCAGTTTTTACCTCCGACTCAAATTCTTCTTTACCTTTAATTTCTCCTTCGCAGTCATCATCAAACTTTCTTGACTCAATAACTGTTTCTGAATTTGAAGTTCAATCTTTGTTATCCAGTTTGTCACCCTCTAAGGCTACTGGGCCTGATGGCATACCAGCATATCTTTTAAAGCGCTGTTCCGAAGTCATCGCTCCGTCTTTAACAGTTATCTTCGAGTTGTCTCTTCAGCAGGGTGTATTTCCTTCTGAATGGAAATCTGCTAATGTGGTTCCAATACCTAAGAAAGGTGACGCTCATGAAGTCACAAACTACAGACCTGTTTCATTACTCTCCCAAGTCTCAAAAGTACTTGAACGCTTGATTTTTAGACAGGTTTCTTCTTTCATTAAGGACTCTTTGTATGACATTCAACATGGCTTTCGCTGCAATAGGTCATGTGTTACTCAACTTTTGAATGTGTTTCACGATCTCGGTCGTGCTCTTGATTCTGGCAATGAAATTGATCTTCTTTATCTTGATTTTGCTAAAGCTTTTGACTCCGTATCTCACAGCAAACTCTTGTTTAAACTAAAATCTTTTGGAATTTCCGGTCAACTTCTTCACTGGTTCGCTGATTATCTCCATAATCGGAAACAGCGTGTCGTTATCGAAGGGGTCTCTTCATCTTTCCTTAACGTTAAATCTGGTGTGCCACAAGGTAGTGTCATAGGTCCACTACTTTTCATTTTGTATGTGAATGATCTTCCAGAGGTAACTAAGAATTGTACTGTTGCACTTTTTGCTGGCGACAGTAAATGTTACCGTGCAATTCAGTCACCAGCCGATCGAGATCTCCTACAGTCTGATCTTGACTCTATGCACAACTTGTCGATCTCTTGGCAATTGAAATTTAATGTATCTAAGACGCTCTTGCTCAGGGTATCTCAGGAACGCAACTCTCCAACTCACCCTTGCCACCTTAACAATCAACCTATTAAGATTGTAGCCAAACAAGTCGATCTGGGTGTGGTTGTGAGCAATGACCTTAAGTGGTTCCCTCACATTGCCAGCTGTACTGCTAAAGCCAACCATTTGCTTGGTTTTCTTCGGAGAAATTGTTCTCAAATGACTGATACTCGCTGGCGTCGGCTTCTCTATCTCTCTCTTGTCCGATCTCACCTGTCTTACGCCAGTGAGATCTGGGCACCTCAAGCCTCGTCACGCGATCTTGCAACCCTGGAGAGTGTTCAGAGACGAGCTACTAAATTTGTACTTCAAAATTATGAGTTGTCGTATCTTGAGCGTCTTAGGAAACTTAATTTATTGCCTATATCTTACTGGCTTGAAATAAAGGATCTCATCTTTGTTTTCAAATGCAAACAAGGTCTCTACGACATAGATATCTCCTCTTTTGTCACCTTTTCTTCTAATCGCTCATCTCGCACCCGCTCAAGCAAGGGCAACTTGCTTCAAGTCAATCCGTGCAAAACCTCTCTTTTTAGAAACTCTTTTTTTAACCGAATTGTCTTTCGATGGAACAATCTCTCTCCAATCATTCGTAACAGTTCCTCTGTTTCATCCTTTAAGTTCCAGCTCCATTCTCACTACTCTTGTCAATTAGACTCTTCTTTCGATGTTAACAGAATGCGCACTTGGAAAACCTACTGCTCTAAATGCCGTTCTTTCAACTTAATCTGTTGCTCATAATCTAAACTATTAATTTTTATATAGTTATGTAAATAGTGTTCTAGTCATTGTCTTTAATGTATGTATGTCTACTTATTGTATTGTATCAGGTTGGTCTTCACATGGGATTCATGTCCTGTTGACCATATCTTCAATCATTGTTATATTTTTTGTATGATTGTAAAGTTAATAAATAAATAAAAATCTTATCTATTTGTTAATTGAATGGCAAGGTATATGTCGCTTAATTCTTTATATGTAAGCAAAACAAAACAAACCTCACAGAAAACTTTAACAGCACCATATGTGGAAAACTCGCCTACTATGACGCGAGCATCAAGTTTCTAGAAGAAAAATGTTGAATATAATTATATTCATGAACAACTTTCAAAATCCATGTCTCAGGTGCTAATCTAAAACCGTAGTAACTTTAGCTCGTTATACGTTCAATAACGTTGTCATGACGCAACAATGTCAAAGCGCTCCTGCGGCAATTCAAATATAATCGCTTTAAATAAGAGTCATCGTGTAAACCCGAATTCAATTAAATCGAATCACGATTTTAGATGTATTTAGAGCGAAACAATTATCACTTATTTACTGAGACTGAGAGAAACAGTGTGTTTTGTGGACCCGAGACCGTCGATGTTTCCCGAGGCGAAGCCGAGGGAAACATCGACGGTCGAGGGTCCACAAAACACACTGCTTTCCCGAGGTCTCAGTAAATAAGTGTTTTATTATATATCAATAGTCAAAGAAACAACAAATTAAAGAACAAATGAACGTAAATACATGAAATATTTTATTGGTAAAACTTTATATAAAACACTGGCTACACTGCAGTTTATACTTAAAGCGAAAGCTTTAATTACGTACTAGGCATGTCCGATGCTCGCATCTTCACGTGATAGCGCACGTGATTTTTTTTGTTATTCGCCGGTCGATAATGTATTATCTCCCTCTCGCGCTGTTGCGAGGGAGACAGCCTAATTTCGTCACTCTCACGTGATATTCTCTAAACCAATAAAACACTAGAAAAACGCGACTTTGACTATTGATATATAATAATCACTTTTATATTCGGAGCCTGTATTTAGTGGCTCTACAGGAGGAGCATAAATAGGTGATTGTTGATCTAACAAAGGACTAACCTGTAGATTTTCTAGTTGTTGCTTTGGAGGGGTCTTGCTTAACTGACTGAATCCTTCAGTGGTAATCAAAGTTATGTTTAAACTGTCATGGGTAATTTGATTTAGTAGGTCACGCACTGCCTGTAAAAGAATAGTATTCTTCAATAAATATGTGACACGATTGATGCTAAGGAGAGAGAGAGCTGCAAGAAACGAGACGTCTTCATCGGAATAGACGTTCTTTGGGAAATTCGTTCATGAAAACTATTTACTTTGCAACATTAAACAGACTGTTATATGGGTACAGAAATATATTATGTAACCTTAGAAATAAATTTGGAACGAAAAACCCGATGCAACGTCAAAGAATAGGTGTAATACCTGAGTGTAATATTTGAAATTATATTCCTGCAGAATTGCGATTCTCTTCCAACCAAATTCATGTATTAAAGAGAGCCTGGCCTTATTGTACGCTGACCTTGACGGAACAGTTGTGTACAGTCCAAAATACTTCGAAGCATCAAGGAATTCCGCACTGGTTGCTGCGTAGGAGAGCTAGAATATAACAAGAAAAGATTTTATACAAAATCCTGCAGTAGCTCTATAGGATCACTTTTATAAAATAACTAGTCAAAGGCCAAGGATTTGGAATTCTTGAATAAAAAAATAAATGAAAAAAAATCTTGCCTGTTGTAAACAAATATATTCCAAAAGTATAATCGAGCAGTGGTATGGAATTAGCCTTTCTCGCGCCGCCTTTTTGGGTGGCATTTCAGCCGAAGTTTGCGAGATAAGTCCGCATAACAGCAACTTTCTTTAATGGTTAGCCTACTTTATTTTGAATAAAAAAGCTTTACACGTTGTTTTAATATATTGTCTGCAATGGTTAACGAGAATAGGATGTCACCCAAAATTGGCGGGTATTCGTCGTGAAAACGGCTAATTAAATACGAATATAAATAAGAAAATCATGCACACTAAAAATTTGAAAATGAATTGGAAATAGTAATTTGTTATGTAAATTTTTTGGTAAGTAATCGAAAATACCCATGGCGCCTGGGAAGAACATGTATCTCCTGAAAGCAGGTTCCCTAGTAGCATAAATAAAGTTCAATTAACAAAAACAACAACAACAGCATCTAGTTCGTATTAAATAGATTTTTGCCACTCAATTATTCCTTCCTCTTCTTAATATAACTTAATTAGCAGATTCAGACGAGATAAATCGAAGGGCAGAGTGTCGTTAATTTTTGGCTACGCCAATGCATTTCAATTTAATAACTATAGATTTTAACATTCACCTCCACAATATTAAAAGATGCGCAAAGAGGATATGCCACCCAGGTAGTCCTTGTCCAAGCTGGACCAATGAGTACATGAATAAGTTCATTCCTTGGTCTTGCAATGAGCCGAAAAACTAAACGAGGTGTGTAGACCTCCGATCCCTACAAAATGTTGGTAATTAATTAAAATTATGGGGTATATATGTAATTAGTACACGCCCATGATGCACAGACGTTGTTCCTCGGTATTGTCCATAAATGGATAAATATTGAATTGATGGTTTAAATAGCAAAGTAGGTAATCTTATCAGCAACCTTATTATGGTACTAAATAGATACACGCTTGCTAATCAATATTTTATGCCTCCTAACATAATCTGCATGCACATTAATTAAACATTATGGGACGAGTTTGAGTAGGATATAAAGAATTATCAAGGCCCAGGTCAAGCCTCAGCCTTCTGCTTCCGTGGATAACACAAACTGAGGCGATAATAAATCTTCATATCATACGAAAACCAAATTCAAACAATAAACTGCACAAACAATGAACCACGTCGGGGCTTAGTAATTTTTGGTCCGAACGTCCAAGATTCCGAGAATTATCCGACGCGTTTTGACCAATCACGAACGAGAATATTCTTCGAATATATATTCAACTCCCTTAAGGCGGATCTCCACTAGACAATATTTATGACGATCGTCTGAAAAATTCGCCACGAACATGCGCAGTAGGAATTAAATTAATCGTAAAAGAGATCGTCAAGGATCGTCAAGCGCTCGACAAAAAGTAGAAACTAGTTTTACTTTTCGTCGAGCGCTTGACGATCGTCATTTTTTCAACCAATAAGATTCCGCGCTGTTTTTCTTGCTGCTAGTACATCTCCAGTTGTCTCTAATTCGTCACGAATTTTTACGACGATCGTCATGAACATCGTCTCAAAAAACCTCTAGTGAAGATCCGCCTTAACGCCACTTCGTACTCACATGAGTGTCTTCGCACAACATGACAATTTCATGATTTGGCAAAATATCAGTTCGATTGTTGATCATTTCTGTTGCGAGATCTATAGCTGTTTTGTAACCATAGTAATCAACTCTACGACCTGGGAATAGGCAACCAATAAAAATCTTGTGCTTTTCAGATATTACTGTGGGAAAGCCCAATAACAACAGGATAACCAAATTGAATGACATATCTAGAAGATGAGCAGTTAATGGGTGAGGTTTTTGTGATATCCAGAATCACCAAGGTCGAGATTAATTAGAGGCGAAGACGAGATTGATAACACTTATACCTCGACTATAATTCGGGATATCACAAAAACCGAATAATAAGAACCTAAACAGGCCAATGTGCACGCGGAAAAATCCATGCACGCGTGTTGGATATAGCCTGAGTCAGTCAGATATAACCTAGCTGGACTATAGATCCATTGCACATGATGCCACACCGCCGGTGATGTGCATCTGGAGGACAAATTAGCAATCTAAGCATAATATAACAATTGTAAACGAAGCACATTTTGTAAAATCCTATAATAATTTCGTATTAAAATCGTTAATTCTGCGCTGTATGTGGTTGTTGTATCCAAACAGATCTTGTTAGCGAGCATCTGGAGGACACTCGAAGGATTTGTGACGTCAGTGCAATGGGTCAGTAGCTGGGAAAACTGAGTCCTGAGGAATATCGTGTCAAAACGCTCTGGAAATTGTCTGTATTTTCTTGCAACAACAGACTATATGACAAGTTCAATCGGCTACTACAAATATACTACAAATAACTACATTATTTTACAGCTTAATTTGTTCATGATTTTTTATTGATCGAAATAATGGAAGCGGCACAGTAAACTCGAATGCCTGGCCTTTGTTTTTCAGCTGGACAAATATTAACTCGAAATGAACAAAGGACAATAACTGACAGCCTATACAAGAAGTTGCCATTTAAAGAGATACTGGATCTTAATTATGACTTGTAGAATCTACACAGTCGAAGATTCGCACAGTATTACTATTGTGAAAAAAGACGAACAGGAGAACTGCGTTTGTTTAAAATACTAAATTAGTAAAGCCAAAATGGCAAAAAGAGTGGGACATTCCCAGCTTTGTTTTTCTTTTCGGCGTAACGAATGCATGAAGAAATTTGAGTAACGCTTGTATATTTTAGAGTTTCCCAGATGCGCATTCACTAGCCCTATATGTTATTGTTACGTACTATTATTATTATTATAAGGCAAAGGTAATTACAAAATTTAGAATTATATATTTAATTAAACGATTTTAAATATATTCATGCAGCAAATGCGTCTGCAGTAAAGAGTTTAATAATAAAAATAAACGTTAGCAAAGTCTAAGATATCTAACATGCTATTACACTTACCAACATGAATACAAAGCAACATTCGTATAAATTATATTATATTTATCAAAATAACTGTCCGTATGGTTTAAGTCAGGCATTGTTTATTTGAAGATTTTCGAGGCGAAAGCATTATTTATTTAGCTGCATGTCAAATTCTTTACTAAACTTGGATTCTGCATAATTGATTGTTATAGACATATTGAAATGCACGTGGGAGAATTAGTAATAATAATAATAATAATAAGCTTTAATCGAACTCACAAAAAATGATAAAACTATGTTAAAACAAAAACAGTAGACATTTCGAACAAGAAAAGGCGAGTTGGACACTCGATTGGCAAACGGACTCGAAGCACCGACAAGGCAAACGCCGTAACTTAAAAAGCATAATTATGAACAAACATATAAACTAGAAAATACATGCATGAAGAAACCCTCGCCTTGCTGACAAAACCATTGTATTTTCCGAACATGAAATATCTAAAGTAGTTGTCATGGTAACACGATAATTTTTTAAGAATATTCTTACAAATAAAAATCGCCTACAAATATCACTTTTAATTACAAAATTATTAATTTCCCAACATATATATGTTAGGTATGTTATTATACGTAATACAGGTTTGTGTCCGCTATTCAGGACAATCCGCCATATTTTTGAGGTCAGTGAGGATGACCACACCTCGAACACCGTTGGTCACCCACGCCCGCGATAATTGATGAACTTTAGACTCCGCTAATGCTTTCGTTTCTCAGGTGTAAATAGCCGTTGTGGAATTAGTACCCTCGCACGGCGCTTCGGCTCGGTGGCAAACATCCAGACCATAGCCATAGCTTTTTCCGTTAATTTAAATTGAATTTGACTGTACGTGTTAAGGCCTGATTCCACGAGACGGAATTTTTCGACCGAAACGAAATTTCTCTTTGTCTTTTTACAATTAGTTGTGCTCGAGTGCTCATGAAACAAAAAGAAATTTTGATTCGGTCGAAAAATTTCGCCTAGTGGAAAACCGCCTTTAAGGTACAAACTTTCGAAATATTTTGGGCCTTACTTGTATGGCTTATCTGTTGTTCATAGAGCGTAATGTAGGGTTACAGCTAAACTAGAAATACATCCATGCAATAACCCCTCGCTAATATTTTCCAAACATTAAATTAACATGAAGTATTCTGAAATGGCCAACACTGAACGCAGGCTCGCGCTCAAATGTCGCCATGACAACACGATATTCTTAAATTTTTAATCTTCATATTTTTTGTACAAAACTGCAAAATAGTTGAAAGATTCCTACTTTTAACTATACAACAATAAATTTCCGAAATATATACTGTAGGTATACAGAGGAGGTTGGACAGCAGGCCGCAAAGCATCATGGGTATTGAGCGCCTAATTCCGCGCGTGGCTTCATTGACTGTTGACTGTCGAGGAGTGAACATGTCTCTGAATAAACCAATATGGAAGCTTTCGAACGACAAGAGTGTCAGGCTGCGATACTTTGTGAAAAGAAACAGCATGTTATTGCTGTATTGTTGCGATCATCATTATGACTTGTGTTTTACTATATCAAGTTTACCTTTTTTAATTTAAATTGCATGAGACGTGCTGTCATTTTAGCTTTATAAATAATCCGTCTGAGAAAAGGAATTGTGTTTAATTTTATATTCCCAATAGCGAGGCTCTTCTTTCTAAGTTGGATGGCGTTAAATCTCCGTGTATCATCAACGTGAAAACAAGCGCAGTATTTAAGGTTGGTATACTACAATGCATTACAGTTATCGTGTTATTTTATAGTCAAATTTCCGCTTTGTTGTTTTTATTCTTGTACTTTTTGTGTTTATAATGCCTCTAGTTTGACCCTATTGTGTGTGTATATGTACTGTGTCACTGTGATACATATGTACATGTTTTGAGTTAAACGAATTGTTTAATAAATTTTTGCTGAAGTATGATACCTGTTTGTATGGATAGATTTTTACATATATGTGCACTGTGTATAGTTTATACATTGGTTCTCAGATGAGTCTGAAGGTATATTGTTATTCAGTTATTTGTATGTATTGTTTTATACATTTTGCTGAGTATGATGCCTGTTTGTATCTAGTTGTGGATGGTTGTGAGAATATAATTTTAGAGATTACATGTTTGCTAATTTTAGCGATGATAATGTATCAAATAATAATTTTCTTGTTATGATTTTGTGGAAAGAGATTTACTTGAGTGGTTGGTTGGTCTTGAGCCTGTTCAGGATGAATATGATAATGAAAGAGGTGATCAAGGTGATAGGGCAGAAAGTGATGACGTTTAAGTGAGAAGATGAAAGTGATGAGGAGGAAATCGCCCATGCTGTAGCGTTCAAGTGCATCGGGGATGCTCGTGAGAAAAACTACCAACATCATTTGGAAAATTAAATTAAGACATAATACCTCACTCTTCGTGAACAAGATAAAACAGTGAATGTAAGAATATGGCCAGCACCATTGAATCCAAGGGACCCAAGTGCAATAGGCAATTCCAGCTTTTAGTTTATTTTATTAAAATTTTTCAGCATAATCAGCTATATGATTCCTTACTTCCTGTTGCCGCCTGCACACATAAATTAACAGCTGGAATTGCCTATTGACTAGACTATGGAACTGGATGACAACATGTTGGTTATATTTCTTTTCAACTATGCAAGTATTTGCACCCACTAATTGCTGCAGATGTCGTGGATGTCTATTGTCTATGTTCAGTGTATCAAGTATAGGGTTGACTTTTTTAATTAAAAAGGGTGGATTTTTTATTTTTTTTTAAAGGAGGGGTGGAAACCTTTCAGGGGGGGGGGCAAGCAGCACTACTGAGTGAGCTTTTTTACAGGGGTTTGGCATTAGGGTTAAAGACTTTTGAAGCAAAATTTTGGTGGGGTTGAACACTTTATAAGATGGGTTAGAGAGATTCTAAGGGGGGGGGGGTTAACCCCTCCTAACTCCCCCCCCCCCAGTAAATCCACCCATGATTTAATC